AAGGTCTGTCATCTCAAAGACTTGCACCATTTCCTTCTTAAACTCTTCAACCAGCCACACAATTTTTCCCGTCACCAAGAGATCATCAACATAAAGGGAAACAATGAGAAGATCAATAATTCATTTATGTTTGACATAAAGAGTAACATCAGATACACTTCCTACAAACCCCAAACTCAACAAGTGATCATCAATCCTGCTATACCACACTCTTGGAGCTTGTTTTAAGCTATAAAGAGTCTTTTTAACCAAACATACTTTTTCTTCTTTTCCTTGCTCAACGAAACCCTCGGGCTGCTCTACATAAATTTCTTCCTGCAGTATACCATTTAAAAAAGCATATTTCACATCTAGCTGGAACACTTTCGAGCCCTTTTGTACTACTATTGCTAGCAACAGTCTAATCGTATCCAATCGGGCTACTGGAGCAAGGGTTTTTGAGTAATCAACACCAAATATTTGGGCATATCCCTTGAAAACAAGCCTAGCCTTGTATTTATTGATAGAACTATCAAAACTAAGCTTGGTTCTAAACACCCATTTTAGTCCAATGACCATCCTATCTTTCGGTATGTCAACTAACTCCCAAGTGTTGTTTTTCTTGATCATTAGCATCTCATGCTCCATAGCGTTTCTCCATTTTTTATCTTGAAGTGCTTCCTCATGCCCCGTAGGCTCACAAATTGCCACATTACTATGTTGGTAGTTTCAGAGAGTAGTTTTGTACCTCTAATTGGAGGATCATCCACTAACTCATTTTGCCATTGATCAGATGTTTGCTCCTCTGAAACTTTGACTGAAAGTTGATTGTCCTTCCAGTCCCATTTCTCTTTGTCAAAAAAGTGCACATCTCTACTGACAATCGTCTTCCTTGTTTGTGGGCTATTACTTTGTAGGCCTTGGAGGATAAGCTATAAACCACAAAGATTTCACGAACTGCCTTTTCATCAAGTTTGTCTCTTTTAACTGGCGGCACATGAAAGAAACAAACAAAACCAAATATTTTACTGAAGCTTAGGGATGGTTTGAATCCATTCCAAGCCTTGAATGCAGTTTTATTCTGCAATGCTTTAGTGGGAAGCCAGTTTTGAAGAAATATTGTTATATTAGCTGCCTCAACCCAAAAAAAATTTGACAACTCTTTTTCATGCAACATGCACCGCGTCATCTCCATTATATATCGGTTCCTTCTTTCACTAATTCCATTTTGTTGCGGAGTATATGGAACAGTGAACTGATGAGTAATACCTGCTTCCTCACAAAATTTGTTAAATTCTTTAGAATTACAATCTTTTCCATTGTAAGACCGCAAGGGATTGGGTTCTGCAACCACTTTGATATTCCATCATCTTCTTCAACATCCAGAAAATTCCAACCACTTCTAATTTGTATTTCGTGGGAAAAAATCCAGCAGAATCTTGTATAAGTGTCAATGAATATAACACAGTATGGACTACCATTAAGGGACAGTGTTCTTTGAGGTCCTGCAACATCTGTGTTGATCAGTTGCGACCTTTGAGAAGTCCACCATGTTGCTTTAGGAAATGGCTTCCTATTCTGCTTACCAAATTGACAAGCTTGACAACGTGGTAAATGATCAACTAGGGTTGGTAATCCTCTTGTCATATCTCCATTCTTCAGAAAAAATAATGCTTGTAGATGACAATGGCCAAGTCTCTTGTGCCAGATTTCTGTTACACTTGCCTTCATTGAATAATCTAGTTGCTCTTTCTCTGTTGGATCAAAGGAGAAACTCCTTCCTCTCATCTTCACCTTAAAATTTTCATTTCCAGTAGTGTCGGTGATTTGGCAGTGATGACCTTCGAAGAAAACTCTGATGCCTTTTCAATCAGATGTCCTACACTTGGCAAATTTTGATCAATTTCAGGAACATAAAGAAACTATGAAATTTTCTTTGTGCCAGTGCTTGTATTGATAGTTATGGTTCCAATTCCTTTGACAGGAAGGTTATCTCCATTTCCTTGAAAAGAATCTTGTCATGAGTCATGTGATTAGTGCACCCACTATCAATTAACCAAGAATTTGTTGAGGTCTTGCATGAGAAGCATGTTGCAACAAAAAGATGATCCTCTTCTTCTTGATCAACAACTTGAGCATTTGCTTCCTTTTACAAACCACTGCTTCGTGTCCAAGCTGATTGCATTTCTTGCATTTAGCATCAGGTCTCCTCCAACACTTGAATGGTGGATGACCTTTTCTTCCACAGTGGTGGCAAGGAGGATAAATTTTCTTCGCGCTTCCTCCCTTACTTATGTTGTTGATTGATGTTTCTCCTTCACTCAATGCTTGATTCTTTTTCTTCTTCTGAATTTTGTTTACCTGGTGCTTACTGACAAGAGTCCCTTTTGTTGTAACATCAACTTGATCCATCTGTTTTGTTTGGTTGACGTTTGGAATTTTCTTTTTAAAAAATGAATATTTGATGCAGCTACAAATTTTGACATGATGATGCAAAGTAAATTGTTCTTGTCTTTGCTACCAGCAAAGAGTCGTGTTCTTGACTTTGCTTGAGCTTTTTACATCCACTTTGACCCCACTTCATCAAGTTCAAACTAACCGACTGGTGTCCCTCTCTAGCGAAAGCCTAGCTCAACTTCCTCTGCCAATTTCCTGTGTGACATACACAAACTCTGCCTCTGTCTGCTATCATATTCCTCTTGCCTCGGCAACCATTGAGTGGCTCTCTCCATTCACATGTTAGCAGTGGCTCAGCTTCACTTCGTGGCTTTAGAGTTCAGCTTGAACAAATGACTAGAGAGTTCACCTATCACTGCTCCTCTCCCTTCTTCTGTCTATACCATGACTTGACAATTGAGTTTGCAGTTCATAGTAACTGTGACGGCAACAGCAGGGGAGAAGAGGCACACAAAGCACGAGACCATCACAGAATGACAGCAATCCAGACTAGACATCTCTCGTCTGGTCTGCACTCCACTAGTAATGAGCATATTCTTTCCATGACTACCATTTCTTTTCTTTCTTATAAGGGAAGTAGGATAAGGTGGGCAGTGTGCTGCAATAGTCACATCGACTTTTCAGCCAAAACCAGTGAGTTCCCTTTTTCCTCCCAGAAGTTCAAGCAATCTAAAAGACATTTTCTTTTTATCTTCATTCAAGCCACTATATTCATATGGTACCTAGCGTAATTCTGTGATACCCGTGGGAATCCGGGGCTCTCCAGTTCAGCTAGGTCCATAGTTCCAGAATTTTGTATGCGGATTAAGATCACTAGAAGGAAGTTTTCCAATCATAGATTCAAACCAACTGTCGAATCCTACTACCTGTTCCCCTTATATAATTCTTATATAATACAGCACCTGTATTTCAGAACTTAGTGGACCATTTCTCCACCCCCAAGAACCTACTTTCTTTGTTAAGCTAAACTGATCTTTTTAAGGAAAAAAAACACTCTTTCGGTTCTCAGTTTTGTTTCCTTTTCTCCCCATTTGCAGCAGCGTCAGGGATTTGCATGAAAAAGCATAAGCATTGGGATATAAAAGCATATAAATACTCTTAAATATGAACCTCAACAAAAAGGAAAATAACAAAAATACAACACTCTAATGATGCTGGTATCTTAGACAAAATAGGATGCATGTACTAGAGACCAAAGACAACCTCAGAGAATACCTAAAATACGCAGTTTATCAAAGATAACCATGGATTACTGAAGAGAAGAAAGTATGGAATTCCTTGCTCCACCATGGATGTTTTGATGTACCAAGAGCAACAGCATTACTCCTGATGTTGTCTTTAGCCCACTCGCATGCCAAATATTTTGTAAGTTGATTAATTGCTCCTGTGGACAACATTCAAGTGGAAAAGATGATGACATTTCATCATCGTTTCTCTCTATCAACCATAAAGTCTTGAAAAAAAAAGGGAAGACCATACCTTTTGTTGCTCCTTGTAAAGACATTGATTTCAATGAGACAAAACCTGAGACAGAGGAAGTGAACACAACACTTCCAGCCCCGGGTGCTTTCAGAAGGGTATAGGCCAGCTGACACAGATGGAAAACAGATTCAAAATTTGTTGCCATGAGGCTGGAAAACTCGTCAGCTGTAAAATCCACCATAGCTTTGCGAATATTGGTCCCTGCGTTGTTTATCTACTGAGCAATGAAAGAAAGCCAATTAGTTCATCTATTAGTGCATGCAATCCAGCTAATGAAGCTAGATGCATCATACGTTCAAAGATATTTATTTTAACACTGAGGTGCCACTTGCCAGGTCCAACATTATGAATGATTAGTTAACCAGACGTCATGTATAGCCTCAACCAAATTATCTATGAAAAAAATTGTGTCATCATCAGCCATAATGTACCATCTAGCATTCTTGTTCTCCATCTTGAATGTCTCGTCTACAATGCGAGCCATACATATGGTTTGTTGAATCGGATGTTTATCGTACATTTTGTATCTCGAGGTGTCTTCTGAGATTTGGAAAGGAGGACAAGAAGAGTAAGGCCATGGAAGCAATTGATGATCTTTTGGGAAGTTCTCGGGGAACACGAATCCACGTGTTATGTTTGGTTTCCACCAGGATTCAACATAGGATATTTTGTTCTTCCATGTTCTAGATGAACTTGTTATTCCAAATACTAGATGGCTAATATTGGTAGGAGTATCATCTTGTGTAATGTCATGACCTTTGAAACTCATCAAGTTATTGAATATAGTGATTGAGTTGCAACATGGATGGTTAGATAGCAAAATGTGGATTACATAGATGATTAGTCCTGAAATTAACAATGATTTGCGTAATTTTCCACTTAATAAAACGGATAATTGCATAGAGAGTAAATGGTAATCGATTTAAAGGACATGTTCCTGTGTCGTTGCTCAAGTGTAATGGTCTAGAAGTCCTTGATGTGGGGAACAATGCTATAAATGACACGTTTCCAGCTTGCCTCGGAACTCTTCAAGAGCTGCAGTCCTTATATTAAAGTCGAACAAGTTCCATGGACCTATAAGTATGTGTCAGGCTAAGTTTTGCTTTCCCAAGTTGCGAATTTTTGATCTTTCTCGTAATGAATTCAGTGGCTCACTTCCTGAAAAAGTTTTTGGAAACTTCAAGGCAATGATCAAATTAGATGACGCAGACACGAGAGAGATCAAGTACATGGAATCTAAGTCGAATTTGTCATTTGACACATTGTATGAGGATTCAGTGAGTTTGGTAATCAAGGGGAAGGATATTGAGCTACAAAGAATCAGCACAATTATGACAACCATAGATCTCTCAAGCAACCATTTTGAAGGTGTCATTCCGAAAACACTAAAGGACCTCAACTCACTTTGGCTACTAAATTTATCCCATAACAATCTCATAGGTCATATTCCAATGGAATTGGGGCAATTAAATACACTTGAAGCTTTAGATCTCTCCTGGAATCGGCTCACTGGAAAGATTCCGCAGGAATTGGCAAGAATGAACTTTCTGGCCTTCTTAAACGTCTCTCAAAATCATCTCGTCGGACCAATTCCTCACGGCCTACAGTTCAACACATTTGAAAATGACTCGTATGGCAGCAATCTTGATTTATGTGGTCCTCCTTTATCAAAGAAATGTGAAACAATTGGTTCATCACATGTTCCTCAACCATTGGAGTTTGAAGAAGATGAAGGCAAGTCATATTTTTTTAGTGGATTTACATGGGAACATGGGAATCAGTAGTCATAGGCTACAGTTTTGGACTAGTTGTTGGAACTGTCATGTGGAGTCTCATGTTTAAATATCATAAGCCAAAATGGTTTGTGGAATTTTTTGATGGACTCATGCCTCACAAGAAAAGAAGGCCAAAGAAGAGAGCTCAGAGACGAAGGACTTGATGGAAGATTGAGAGGGCCAAATTGTCTTTGTTTAATTTTGTGGACTAATAAGTGAACTGTTCTGTTTTTGTCTTTTTTTTAATTTTCTATTTGTTGTTTGTATATGTTAGAAACATAATTATTTGTGTGTTATGTTAGTATCAATGGTTATTCAAGTTATGTTAGTTTGTTTCTGTTTCAAATTGACAGAAGTGATCTACATAGCCACTCATTAGCTATGTTACTTAGATTTTTCAAAAATGTCAACGGGTACGTGTTGGATTCTTCAAAAGTTGTGTATTTTTTAAGGAACCAACATGGTTGCGACATCATCATATTTGAGGAGAGTCCGAGCAACATATTTCATTAATACAACATAATTGGAAAAAGCAGTGCAGTAAGCATATAGAGTTTGGTTCATGATTGAAATTAGTTGATATTAGAAAGTTTATATTTGTGAAAATTGATGTAGAAGAATACTCAAAACTACAGAAGTGGCTAATGATTTTGTGGGTACTTCATCTTTCTAGTCATAAAACATCCTTAAAATGTTCTCTAACTCAGTTTCAACTCCCGCGATTTTGATTTTGGTAGAATTTTACATATATTTATACTTCATGACGAAAGTTATGCCTCACGCCATCCAACAACTAATTCATACTGTTTGATTATGAATGAGAGAATTTTGTTTTATTTGGCAAAATGCTCGCTGGAATTGGCTCACTGAAAAGATTCCAAGGGAACTGACAGGACTACAATTCCTGGCAGTTTAAAAACTCTCTCTGAATGTTCTTATCAGACCGATTGCATGTTCCTCGCCCATTGGAGTCCGAAGAAGAAGAAGAGTCGTATTTTGCTAGTGGATTTACGTGGCAATCAGTGGTCATAGTTGTTGTAACTGTCATGTGGAGCCTCATGTTTAAAGTGGTAAGCTAAAATGGTTTGTATAATTTTTTGAAGGCATCATTCCACACAAAAATAGAAGGCGTAAGAAGAGATCTTTGAGATGACGGATTTATTTAATGGAAGATTGGAAGAGCTAACTTGTCAAGTAATATCTTTTTTTTTTTTTAGGAGCTCCCACCCCTTTTGCTCCCTTGGTGACTCGAACTTGCAACCTTCGGGTTGGAAGTGAGGGGTGCTTACCATCCGAGCAACTCCCTCTCATCTTGTCAAGTAATATCCATTGTTGGAATAATCTCATGAATATTATTCTTTAAATTTTAGTTGTTTTACTTAGTCTGAATTTTCTCTTTGTTATTTTCATCTGTTAGATACCTCTGAATTATTTTTAGCATTTGCTTCGACTACTGAATTGAAGTCATATATTAGCTTAGGTACAAATAACATGAAAGTCAAATATATTCTTAATAACAAGCTAAAAGAAAGACATATCTGCATTTGAAGTTCGATTTTCCGTGTTTAAGCAGTTGCTGTAGCAGTGGACTGTTATGTTGGATGAGTAATACAGGAAGATGTTATGTTCCGACATATTCATTCACTTCGACTTAAATGCGTGTTCATCCTTGTAATGAAAATTGAACATGAATGCTCAAGTGATGCCTGAACCTCGAGGAGGTGGCAACTTTGTGATAATGAGTTGATTTTAAGCATCAAAGCATGAGTTGATTAGATCATCACTAGATCTATAAAGGCGAAAGACAGAAAAATGTGATCGTTCAATACAATTAGTCTCTCAGTTTTCTTTGCTTCTGCATCATTTTTTTATTTGATCACTACACCTTTATCTTGAGTCGAGGGTATATGGAAACAGCCTCTCTTCTACTTTGGTTATTTTCCATCTCTTCCTATTTGAACTGTATCATATAGAATGAATTTCCCTCATTAACTTAATGTGAAAAGTCTTGGAAAACAGCACAAGAGACAACTAATCGGAAATTTCTCTGCAGGTGGAATGATCTTCACCAAGTTATTCAAAACATAATAATTAAGCAGGAAATGAAAGACTTAAATCATGTCTTTAATTATTGTTCATTTTTTTCCTCACTTGACTTAGTCAAGCAATAGTTTCTACCATTTGAAATTTCTAAGAAGTTCTGCAGAAAATTTTTCTACATAATGGGACCAATTTCACATCATCTTGCGTAACACACACTGCAGAGATAGTTAATGAATTCGAAATGAACACAACATCTAGAGAAAATTAGAGGACATAGAGAGTATTATTTTGTTAAGTCTTGTCCGTCCTCTAACAAGTCTTGTGAAACACTACAAAATATGAGTAACAAGTTGTTAGAAGTGAGTAGTACTCATCTTGTGATTCAATTGTTCATCAGTCCCGATTCATCATAATCTCTTTTTTCCTCTAGTCTTTGTGGAAATTGGCTTAAAGTCTTACAAGTCATCGTCCGCTAGTTACAATACTGTATCACTTTTTTCCTTAGGTGTAATGGAATATTGATGGATTTTCCCTTATTAACTTAATAATGTGAAAAAATAGTGTACCTAACAAGTTTGAAAATATAGCAGAAGAGATAACTAATCACTCACTCGGATTGACTTTTTCTGATTGTATAGATTTCATAGAAAAATTGCACCAAAATTTATTGTATTTGTACAACTTGGTTTGGCTTGTTTAAAGTGTTCCTTCTTGTCATATGGAAGATGAAATGGAGTAACATCATCATGTCATTATTATTTTCTAAATTGAACTGTCATATTTGTCCTTTTTCCCACCCGTAGTCTTTGTGGAATTGGCTTAAAGACTTTGGTGGAATAGTGACGGAGTTTCCATCAATATTCCTAACAAGTCTTGTGGAAATCATCATCAACATATATATCATATCATATATCATATTTTATATTATAAGTGGGAAGCCTCCAAGTCAAAAGTTGAACCCCTACACTAATTTTTTTCATTAAAAAATATCTTTTACTAACTTTTAAAATCAAATCAATAATGATAATTAAATGACATTTCTCTTTTTTCTTAAATTTTTGACATTTTTTCTTAATCAATCCTTCTATATATATATTAAAAAATCTTACATTTTCTCTAGCTACTTCCGTTTATTTGCATTAAAAAATTTCAATTAGAAGTAAAAACCCCTTTAAGGCATTTTCTTTAAGAGATCACAATAAATATTGGCTCTTCATTATTTTTCTTCAACTCTCAGGCTTTTGCTCTTCTAACTTCCAAACTTTTGGCCTCCCAATCCAACATATCACTACATATACTTATGGCTTCTAAAATCATTTCACTTTTTAGTAAATTTTAATTTTAAAGTTGCTGATTTTTTTCTATTGGGTTGTATCAGGTATTGTTTCATTTGTAATAAATTAAAATTTGTTTGCTTTATTGATTCTTGTAATTTTTCATAAATATTTCTTCTTCTTCCATTGATTATCAGGCTTTCAATAAAGACTCTTTTCTGAGTTGTTTTTTTTTTTTTTCATTTGTTATTGATAAAGTATGTCTCCTTCACGTATGGAATTGATTTAATTTGCGTTTCAGTTGCATTGATATTATTTATTACATAAAGGATAATTTTCTTTTCTATTTTTGCTTGATAAGATATATATAATCTTAATTACTATTCTGAAGAAAAATAATGTTACACCTTGTGCACCAATAATGTCATACGTAGAAGTAAATAAATACAGTATATATACTTTTGTATTATCATTATAACTTTTGTTTTTTTTGGCATAATTATTGTAAATTTTTATTTTATGTTTGTACCATTTGTTAGTAAGGAACAGATGTCTTAGTTGTAAGCAAAAATACTTGGCAGATTTAGATGTTAAAATTTAAATTTTGATACAATTTATATTGTTAAAATTGAAATTTCTATGTTAATTATATATGTCAAAGAACTGAAAGTAAACTCTTTTTTTCATTTCTTCCATTTACGGATGTTGATTTGAATGAGGAATTTAGATATGATTATTTCTTAGGTAAAATTAGTTAAATAAATAACTTTTTTGGTTTAATTTTAAGTAACTTTTTTATTAAAATTTATAATATAATCTGATAAAAATAAAGTAAGAACAAGAGTTGGATCAAATATGTCCGTACTTTGACATGGGTATCATTCAAGTATTTAATCCAAAAGAAAAGATATTTTTCTTTTCTTTTTGATCGTTTTTTGTTATGTCAACACACTGTGTTAATTTATTTATATGTATAACCTATAATAAGTGAATATCTACTTTTTTGTAGCTTCTATTTTATAAAAGTGAAATTTGTGATTTAATATTATGTCAAACAATTGAAATTAATATATTTAATCTTCATTGCGGTTCTTTTATTTTCAAAAATTAATTAGAATAAGAAAACCATTTCCATAAGTTAATTGTAATATAAATAGGAGATTATTTTGATAATTGAGTCTTGTGTGCTATAAAGTACTTTATTGTTTAGTTATCTACCGTTTCACTTTTATAATATTTTTATATTTGTTGAATATAAAATTTTCACATTTAGATATTATTTAAGTTTTTTTGGTCAATAGTACGATGACAGGTTCATTTTATTGCTTTTTCACATTAATTGAGTTGATGTTACAAATATTTTTTAAGTTAAAAGTGGAAGCTTTTAAATTCAAAGTTGAATTACGAAAATACCTTTCTCTATTTTTTTTAATTAAAAAAAGTACTTTTTGCTAACTTTTATGATAAAATCAATAATGACATTAGAAAGTTTATCTTAAAATACTGAACTTTATTATATGTTTTGAAAATAAAACTGTAATGACACTTCCGCAAATTATAAAAAGAGTTTTTCTAACTATTTTATATAATTTATTTTTACAAAATTTCTTACATTACATGGACTCAATGGACCAACTTGGTGGGACACAATAATATAAAGATATTAGAAACATGAGTTGGGACTGTATAAATTTAATATAATAATAGGAGTCAAATGTGCAACCCACGTTCCCAAGACTAGTATTATTATAAGTGGGAAGCTCCAAACCTCAAAGTTGGATTACTATTTTGTCCTTCATTTAAATATTATTTTTTTATGTACAAAATAAAAAATATATTCTAATAACTAAATACAAAACTAGATATAAATGGGAGCAGTTTTAAGGTATTCAAATGTGCATTATATTATGTAATAAAGATATTGGAAGATAGAAAGTCATTCAAATAGATAAAATAGCTTGAGTAAGTTGCTAGCAGAAGTCCAAACATTTCAAAACTGAAGAGTTATCTTGATGACACGTATTTCACATTATTATTGCCAACTTCAATGTAATTGTTAACAATTATATATATGGGGATGTTCATGGATTATTTCATAAGCATAGTTTGTGAAACATTGAATGCAAGGAGGGAGTGAAGCCACTCAAAAATTATTTTTCCATGCTCTCTTTGATCAGTAAGTTTAATAAAAAAAAAATATGTTGCTTCTATTTCATTAAATAAACATTTCATATTTATTTTTTGAATTTTTGACAAGAAAGCATTTTTCACATGTATTCACCCCTCTTGAAATGTGTATGCATTTTTACTTATGAATCATGATTCGAAATACGAAGGTTAAATTATCTAATTATTTTATATCATTTCATGAATTCAATTAGAATATTTTTAAATTCTTTAAAATAAATTTTACATATTTATAAATTACAATCAAAAGTGAAAGGAAACTCACTTTTAATTATTCTGTGTTTGTAGATAATCCTTTTATTTATTTTCTTTTTATGAATGAAAATGTGGAAATAAGAAAGAAAACAATAAAAATAAAATGGAGGGAACATAAACGAAAGGGGAAGACAAGAATTAAGGCAAATGATACAAAATAGTAATGTTAGGGGAAAATAATAATAAAGTAAGAGACAAAAAAGGATAAAAAAAAAATATATATGATAAGAAGTACGAAAAATAACCATGACCAAACTATTGTAATTTTTTGTTCATGCTACAAAGGAGAATAAGCACACTATGTCATGTGAATGTAATATGGAGACAACATATATACTTGTTACAAGTACATATTGTAATGCAAACTTTGGTTCAAATTGCAGGTTTCGACCTAATAACATAAAAAGGTAAATTATTTATCACATTAAATTTTGTTGTCCAAATTTGGAAGAATACCGGAATATCTAATTATTTGACATTTATATTTTACAATAAAGAAGTCATTTATATAGGTTGATTGTTCATTTATTTTATTTATATTTTTTCGTTAAATCATTTGTGAAATTCATCACAATATGATTTTAATATAACTCCTACCACATATAATATTTTTATGGGACTCACGTGCAAAGCACGTGTCCATGTCTAGTTCTTGAAAAAGTATCAACAATAATTACTTCCTAATTATATATTTTTTTTAAAGTGAGTCAATTGGGATGACTCAAATGCAACTTCATGAAATATCCAGTTTATGCATTACGATCGTCATTGTTCTTAATCAAAAATAATTTTAGAAAAATCTTATATGGCTAAAATTCTTGTGAACAATTAAGATATATGTCATATGTGAAGTTGAATGTTTTATAATTTGAAAAAAAAAAAGATAATTTTTTTTTAATGATTAATTATTTTACAACAAAGAGATCAATCCATAATAAGAAGGAAATATATATGTATTTAGGAAAAAATGTTATGATCGAAGTATGTAAAAGGGTAAAATAAATCGATGATAAGCTTATACAATCAGTCATTTGAATTTCTTGAGTTGCACATAACAATGCCAAATTTTGGGTACTTTATTTTATAAATTTAGTAAAATATTTTAACCCAGAATGTCCATATATCACTAAAAGCTAAACTTCCAGATGTTTTTAATCACATTAATATTTCATCTTATATCCATTTTCTTCCACTACGTAATGTTTTACACTGTGAGTTTCTCAATTTTTTCAATCTTTTACATGATTTTTTAATTCTTCTTTTAAATATAATTATTTTTTTCAAGTTCAATGAGTTTTTAAGCGACCGCGCAAAACGCGGATAAGTTTCCTAGTATATAAATAAGTGTCAAAAAACATGTCTAAACTATTCCTTTTTTGAAATATACATACAACTTTTTAAAAAGGTTTCATCCATTAGTATGGGGTACATTCGTAAAACGCGTGCCTAGAGATTAGTGTGTGTATATATATATATATATATATATGGATAATGCTGTTTGATTTGTAAGAAGAAAACGTCCGTCCTGTTATTTGGTGAATACAAAACGAGAAGATGGTGAGTCTCTTTTTCTTTTATTCATTTCTTTGTTTATTGTTGCTAATAAGTCCATGTTTTTCTTCTTCCTTTGAGCATCGATCATCTTTGCTCTCCCACGGAAGCTTATGCTTTGCTTCAGTTCAAATTTCCGACAACTTTTGTTGTTGGGATTATGAATCCAGGCATTATGATTACCCAAGAACAAAGTCTTGGAATGAGAGTAGGGATTGCTGCACTTGGGATGGAGTCACTTGTCACATGTTATCGGGTTGGACCTTAGTTGCAGTCAGCTTGTGGAAGTATTCATCCCAACAGCAGCCTCTTCCTCTTCCAACTTCATCATCTCCACACACTAAACCTTGCTTACAATGACTTTAATCCTTCTTCGATCCCACGTAACATTGGCCGATTGAGGAATCTCAACCTTTCATGGTCTTCCTTTAATTTGATGGAAAAATCCCAACAGAAATCTCATATCTTTCCAATTTGGTTTCACTTCATCTTTCTGGTTATGATTTACAACTTGATGAGAGAACATTTGAAACAATGCTTCACAAATCTGGAGTTACTAGCTCTCCCTCATCTCCGATACCTGTAAATATTTCTTCTTCCTCCTTAAGGTACATGGATCTTACGGTAACCAATTTGCGAGGTGTTCTCACAGAAAGCTTTTTCCTTCAGCCAAACTTGGAGAATCTCAAATTGGGTGATAACCGTCTTCTCAAAGGAGTTTTACCAAAGATCCACCTGAGCAACACTCTGTTAAAGTTGGATATTTCATTCACACGAATATCCGGTGAGCTACCTGATTCAATTGGCACCTTGAATTACTTGAACCTCCATGGATGTCAATTCATTCCTGATTCCATTGGCAACCTAACCCAAATTAGGGAGCTGTGGTTTTGGGGTAATCATTTCACTGGCCATATTCCTTCAACAATCTCTAAATTGAAGCACCTCACACGTATAGATCTTCCGTCCAACTCATTTTCAGGTGAAATTCCCGACGTTTTCTCTAACCTCCAACAGCTACGTTATTTTGATCTTTCTGATCATAACAGATTCATCGGTCCATTCCCCTCTTCAATTTTAAGTTTGACAAATCTTTAATACTTAAAATTGTCGAGGAATTCCCTATCTGACCCACTACCTAGCAACGCAAGCATGCTTCCAAAGCTAACCTACCTTGATTTATCATACAACTCACTTAATGGTACCATACCATCTTGGGTGTTTAGCCTACCGTTGCTATCTTCACTGTCCTTCCAACATAACCGATTAAGAGGACTAGCCGATGAAGTGATCAAAACAAACCCAACAGTAAAAGACCTGCATTTAAGCAATAATCAACGTCTCAGTGGTTCTTTTCCTCAATCACTTGTGAATCTCACAAACCTTTCTACCCTTGACATTTCAACAAATAACATCACCATTGATGAGGGAATGAATATCACCTTTCCTAGCCTACAAGCTTTGCAGTTATCATCTTGTGAACTGAAGGATTTTCCACACTTCTTGACAAATATAAAGACACTTCGGTACTTGTATATTTCTAACAATAAGATTTGTGGTCAAATTCCTGACTGGTTTAGCGGCATGAGGTGGGACAACTTGTGGTCCCTAAATATTTCACATAATATTTTGACAGGTTACCTACCACAATTGCATTTCCATAATCTAGGGTATCTTGATCTTAAATTTAACTCCCTTTAGGGTCCACTACCTTCATCTATTTGTAACATGAGTTTGCTTTCCTTATTAGATTTATCACGCAACAACTTTAGTAACTTGATTCCAAGTTGCTTGGGAAGCATGGATAATCTAACGGTGCTGGATTTAAGAAGGAACAATTTCACTGGGACCCATTGTGTGCACAGAGCACTTCACTCAGTACCATTGTCATAAATGTCAATCGATTTGAAGGACATGTTCTGTGTCTTTGCTCAAATGTCATAGTTTAAAAGTCCTTGATGTGGGGAACAACGCTATAAATGACACGTTTCCAGCTTGGCTCGGAAGTCTTCAAGAGCTGCAGATCCTTGTATTAAAGTCGAACAAGTTCCATGGACCTATAAGTACGTGTTAGACTAAGTTTTGCTTTCCCAAGTTGCGAATTTTAGATCTTTCTCGTAATGAATTCAGTGGCTCACTTCCTGCAAAAGTTTTTGGAAACCTCAAGGCAATGATTGAATTAGAGGGTGAAGACACGGGAGAGATCAAGTACATGGAACCATCTAAGGTGTCACCTAACACATTGTATGAGGATTCCGTGAATTTGGTAATCAAAGGAAACGATAGTGAGCTAGAAAGAATCAGCACAATCATGACAACCATAGATCTCTCAAGCAACCATTTTGAAGGTGTCATTCCAAAAACACTAAAGAATCTTGGCTCACTTTGGCAACTCAATTTATCCATAACAATCTCAAAGGTCATATTCCAATGCAATTGAGGAAATTGAATAAGCTTGAAGCTTTAGATCTCTCCTGGAATCGGCTCACTGGAAAGATTCCGCAGGAATTGACAAGAATGAACTTTCTGGCATTCTTAAACCTCTCTCAAAATCATCTCGTCGGACCAATTCCTCAAGGTCCACAATTCAACACATTTGGAAATGACTCATATGGCGGCAACCTTGATTTATGTGGTCTTCCTTTATCAAAGCAATGTGGAACGAGTGATTCATCACATGTTCCTCAACCATTGGAGTCCACAGAAGAAGGCGAATCATATTTTTTAGTGGATTTACCTGGGAATCAGTTGTAATAGGCTACAGTTTTGGACTTGTCATGTGGAGCCTCATGTTTAAATATCGTAAGCCAAAATGGTTTGTGGAATTTTTTGAAGGCATTTTTCCCAAGAAAATGAGAAGGCCAAAGAAGAGAGCTTGGAGACAACGGACTTGATGGATAAATTGAAAGAGTGAACTTTTCTGTTTTTTCTCTTTTTAATTATCTGTTTGTTGTTTGTAGCACTATAATTGTATGTGCTATTTTAGCATTGATGTTTTTTTCAAGTTAAGTTATTCTGTTTCAGTTAATAACCTCTTTTTCCTTTCCGTCTCTTTATACCAATGTGATTTAATTCCAGGTACATATATCAATCACGTCTTCCATGATTCTTAGATCCAGAGGTAGCACCGGTCCATCATTAGCAACATCCCTTCCTCTCGTACCCGGCCTAGACCAGCCGATTAGCACATGATCATCTACAAGAATAGGAGTATTAGGAAAATAGAAGCATGGAATATAAAGAGTAGCAGTGCTTATTCAGCTAGTATTGTAGCTTATCGTAATCACTAGTAATTGATGAATCACACTTCAAGCATATCATGAAGTTAGACTTGACAGTGATGCTATATAAACTTTAAGTTGTGAATCAGATCATCAATAGCCTGTCCTGCAAATTACATTTCTCACTTCTGAATAAGGAGTAGTATCTGAATCTTGCATAATATAACCTGCTTTTACAAGAGGCTTTCGTGTATTGAAATTTTTATAGCTATTATCTAGATGAAACTTCATCTAGATAATGTAAAAACTGACTTTGGTTAGTCTTTGCGGAACTTTGCTTAAAGACTTAGAAGTCATCGTCTGATAGTTACAGTAAAGTACCCCTTTTTTCTTTGTTGCTTAATTAAATACGAGACGGTCCTATGAAGAATGGGGTCCAAGAATAATGGAGTTTCCCTCATTAACTTAATGTGAAAACTCATGTGTACCTAACAAGTTTGAAAACAGCACAAGAGACAACTAATCAGACACCAACTCGGAAATTTCTCATAATAGCTTTACGAACGCGTTGTATAATCCAATGTTTTTTTGAGCTATTGACTTAGTACAACACAACAGGAAAAGGCTGCATCCACCTTTGGGGCTCATGTTGTTCATGGGTTATTTATCGGTCTAGACATTAGTGGTAGTTATCTTCACGGAACTATAGAGAATAGCAGAAGAAAAGTATAATCTAGGAACCTTCTGCTAGCCTAAGATTGTTAACTATATAAGATCGGAAGATTCAACTTATAAAGAAGAGGAAGCTAGAAAGGAGAACTTGTTTATGGAAGAAGACTCTTTTATTTAGGTTGTAATTGAGTTATATACGAATGACTAAGGTCACCCCTATTTATACTTATGTGGGGATGGTTCTAGACATCACAAGATCTAAACTATTCTATCATTTACTGCAAATATCTCTCTAGAATATCTACACATTTCTTAGACACAACTACAAGAAAATTCTAGTAACTTTATATTCTACCCTAGAATATCTAGATATTTCTTTAAGATAATTATTCTAGACACTACACTAGACTATTCTAGAAACCATACTAGAAAATTAAAATCTATGATATTCCGAAAAATCAACTTTATATTTTCACAGGGACTATTCATCCCAACAGCAGCTTCTTCCAACTCTATCATCTTGAATCACTAAACCTTGCTCGCAATGACTTCCAAGTGCTACCTGACTTGGATCTTTCTTTTTTTTCACTTGACTTAGTCAAGCAATGGTTTCTCTCATTGGAAATCTGTTACAACTTCTGCAGAAATATTTTCTACAGTGAGTGTTACGTTGTAACATCCGGCAATATGAAATAATTGAAGAGGCTTAGAATTGGAAATTTTCATTTTTGGAAAGAATTTAAAGTTTTGGAAATTTTGGCTAAGTATGGAAAATGTGAAATTTTGGCCAACTTTGAACAGCCATAAATTCTAGCCCAGGATGAGTTAGGTGGAATTCCAGTTATGGTTGCAAAGTTGGTGGAACGACCTTTCCAACGCCACCGAGTTTGCTCGATTCCGAGTACGTATGAGGGAGTTATGACCTTTGAAAGTTGGGCAGTTGACAAGGAAATCCGTCCGGGAATCATTAAGGGCATTTTAGTCTTTTCCCTAGCCAATTCTTTTGAGCTCATATTGTTGTATTAGGATGATCTTTGGATCATTTTTGTCCCATTTTTTTTTGAAAGAGAAAGAGTTAGGGTTCTTGAGATTGAAGAAGAGAAGAAGGAGAAGAAGAAGAAGAGAAGAAAGAGGAGATTTGTCAAGACCATTGTGGATTTTCGTCGGGGGTGATCCCTATCAAGGTATGTGAGTTTTTCGTGTGGGTTGATCCTTTCCCTCACACACACCAAGTTTATTCTATGCTTTGAGAAAAGATTGGGAATTGTTGATGAAGTGTCGAAGTTGTTAGTTGTTGTTGAGGTTGTTGAAGTTATTGTTCGTTGTGAGGCTTGATTGGGTTGTGCATTAAGTTGAAACCTTTTGTATGTTGAGG